GAAGGAAAGAAGGAAAAGAGAGAGAGAGGGAGAAAAATAGAAAGAAAAATTTAAAATCTTTGTCAGAGGTTTTTTGATTTTTTGTTTGTTTTACCAACTCTCAAGCCCTGATACTTTATCATTCTTTCTGCATTCACCCTGTCTCCTTCACCCTTCTACATCTCTATGTCCAGAACCGCACAATGCAAATAGATGTTCAGAATGGAGACATTCAGTTGTCTTCTCTTGACTCTGCTTCCTAAGACAGGAAACTGATACCAGTGATGAGCTACAAGCATTTGGAGACATGTAGGATCATAGATTTGGAGATGATTTAGTTCAATCTCCTAATTAAATAATTGAGATAAATGAATCCCAGAGAGGCAAAATAGTTTCTCAAGGTCATAAGTGGCAGAGCTAGAATCTGAGCCCAGGTTCTGTGACTTCAAATAAAATTAAATTCATGTGCCAAGCTTTTATTAAATGCCTACTATATGAGAAGAAAATAAAAAGTCTGTCCTTCAAAGAATTTACATTTTACTGGGGCATTGTGGGAGTGCAGTGGGGATGGTACATGGATGCACTTAGGTTAACGCAAGGTTATTTGAGAAGGGAGAGTGCTCCTAATAACAGTGGGGACACAGCAGGCCTCTCTTAGGGGTGGCACTTGAAATAAACTTTGAAAGAAGCTAAAGATTCTCAGACATGGAGGGAAAGAGAGAATGCATTACAGCATGAGGGACAGGCTATAGAAAGGCCTGGATATAGAAGATTGAAAGCCAGTTTCAGGAACCAGCACATAAGTGTTTTGATTAGGCTGAGTCTGCATAACTTGTCTGGAAAGGTAAACTTGAAGCAGACTGTGAACACCAAGCAGATAAGCTTGTATTTTCCACTAGAGGCAATAGGGAGCCACTGAAAATTCTTGTCCAGACCTGCCCTTCAGGAATATTATTATTTCAGCAGCTGTGTGGAAGATGAGCTGGAGATGGGAGACAGTAGAATGAGAAGTCTATTGCAGTTCACTGAAGAGATAAACTAGGTCAGGGTTCAGAATCTTTTTATGTCACGGATCCTTTCGGCAGTCTGGTGAAGCTCTGGATCCCTTCTCAGAATAATGTTTTTTTTTTTTAATTATACTTGAAGAAAATGGTAGATTCTAGTTAGTGGCTAGTGAAAACAAAGACGTATTTATTTTTCCCCATCCAAATTGAGACTCTCTGAAATCTATCCATGGACCTCGTTGGGGGGAAGGGGGGGTCTGTGAACCACAGATAAGAACCCTTAAATTAGTGAAGTAGGATGATATGATCATAGATTTGGAGGTGAATGGGGCCTTGAAAGCCTTTGGATCCAACTCTTTCTTTTTACAAATGAGAAAACTGAGGCACAGATACAGTAAGTGACTTGCTTGAGATTACACAGCTAGTGGGATCTGAACGTAGGTCTTCCTGAACCCAATCCAGTGCTGTGTGTACTATGCCATGCTATGTCATGTGAGTAGAAAAGGGGGACATGACCTTTCATGAGAAATGTCATGAATGTATAATCTACAAGATTTGGCAACAAATGGAGATGTGAGGGTGAGTAAGCCTGCAAGGCCAATTAAGAGATTCAGAACCTGGGTGACCGCAAACATGCTAATGCTTCAACAGAAGCATGCAAGCTTGCAGGAGGGGCAGGTGAATGAAGGGAATAAAAAATAGACATGGTGAACCCACACTCTTTCCATTATGCCATTAGACAATCAACAGCTGGTGACATCCAAAAAAAGAGATTTCTAATTACCCAGAAAATTAAATTACCCAGAATTCCTGGTTTCTGGAGCATCCCAGTTGGTCAGGTTTTTATCAACTGAATATACTAGAGTTAGGGATATGGATCAAAGGCATTTTCCTGTAATCTATGGGAGGCAGTGGGGCACAGTGGATAAGGGCTAGATGTAGAATCAGGAAAGCTGAGCTTGGAATCGAGACTCACACACCTATGAGCTAAGTGATGCTAAGGAAGCCTCTCTGACTTTCAATTTCCACATGTGTGTTGTTATTCAGTTTTTTCAGTCATGGTCGACCCTCTGTGACCCCACTTGGGGTTTTCTTGGCAGAAATCCTGGAGTGGTTTGCCATTTCCTTCCCCAGCTTATTTTACAGATGAGGAAACAGAGGCAAACAGGTTGAAGTGACTTGCCCAGGGTCTGAGGCTACATTTGAACTCAGGTCTTCCTGACTCCAAGCCCCTGTACTACCAAGAATAATAATAGTCCCCACCCTCACGAGGCTGGTGTGAGGATCAAATGAGGTAGTGTATATGAAGATCTTTGCAAATCTTAAACCTCTATATAAATGCTAGTCATTCTGATGATGGTTCCATTATTATTAGCATTGTTAGATTATTATTTTAGGTTAATGATATTAATATTAGCTTGAGAGGCATCTTGGTGAGGTGGCTAGAAGGATGACCTCAGAGTCTAAAAAAGCCTTACCTCTGACACATACTTCCTATGTGACTCCAGGAAAGTCACTTAACCTCTGTGTCTCAGTTTTCTTATCTGTAAAATAGGGATAGTAATAGCACCTATTTCCCAGGGTGGTTGTGTGTGAATAGAATGAAATAATATTTGCAAAGTACTTTATAAATCAAAGCACCATATAAATGCTAGCTATTATTTCAGACATGGATTATAGATCTAGAGCTGGCCATCTAGTTCACACTCTCTGATTTTGCAGATGGGGAAACTGAGGCCAAGTTGAATGACTTGTTCAAGATCATGGAGATAGTAAACATCAGAGGTGGGATTTGAACCTAGGATGTCTGACTTCAGAGTTCTTTCCACTGTTCATGCTTCCTCCATTAATTCTTTTCTTTTCCAGGTCCTTCTTCCAACTCAGAAAGTATCTTTAGGCAGGATGTACCTTCCGGAACCATGAGCAACTTGGCCAAGAATAACACTGACCTGTACCATCACTACAAGTTGCTGGCTCCCAGGCTGCTGGAGGAAATCTCCAGGCTCCTGATCACCTGCAGGAGCTTGGGCATCGTCCTGCCCAGGGGCATCAAAAACATCTTCGAGTTCACATGGGAGGAGCTCATCATGGAGCCCCCCAGCACATCAGCATCCAAGATCTCTGGCCTGGACATCTTTTTTGGACAGCTCTCTTCTGTGGAGCTGTCTTTTTCTGCCACCTCCAGGAAGCCCATGACCAAGAACTCACCATCACCCGCAGCCCTCATCCAACCGATGCCCAACAGCTATCGGATCCTCCAAAAATTCCAAAAGAAGTTGATCCACCTGCTGTCTGAACTCCTCTCCCTGAAACTGAAGATGATGATAGAGTCCTCCACAGGTGAGCCTGGCACGGTCCCCCAGCATGCCCTCTAGGCAAGGTTTAAGTTATCTAGTTCAAACCATGCATTTTGTAGATGGAAAAAAAAAAAACCTGAGGCTTAGGGTAAGCAACCTGTCCGAGTTCATATAGAGGCTGACTGCTCTAACTGCTACACCATTCTGCCCCTCAACTGGAAAAGTTTGGGCCCTCATATTCATTGCACAACCAGTCTCTCTACTCTGGAGTCAAATCCCACCTGTGACAAATCATTTCACTTTCCTGGTCCTCACTTTCCTGATATGTAAAATGAGGTTTGAACAATTGTGGTTCTTCTTGGGGAAGGGGGAGATCCTTCTTCACTTTGGAGCATATCTGCCACTTTCTCTTCCTACCCTCCCTTCTATTATTCCTTTTTCTTCCTCCCTTCCCCAACACCCCCTCCCTCACAAACCCAAGGTAGCTGATTAAGGAGTGAGCAAACATAGTCCAGATTTATGAGGAGAGAGAAGACTAGTCCAATTCCTTTTTCCTTTTCCTTAAGCCCTGCCCCCCACTTTTCCCTGGTCTATACCTGGAAGAGCTAGTAGGGGAGGGGATATATAGGCACAGCAACACCAGGAGACTGGCAAAATTAAGAGTCCTAAGTGCATGGCTGCCTCCCAGATTTCCCCTCTGCCAATGCCTCTCCTTTGCTCTTTCTCTTTAAAAAACAAATGGTTTATTCAATCAATTAACATCGAGCATTTATTATGTGCCTACTATGTGCCAGGCGCTGTGTTAGGCACCAGGGATACAAAGGCAGAGGTGAAACTTTCCCTGCCCTCTTACTGAGGTAGTTGGTTTTTGCAGCCCTTGTTTCTAGAAATACCTTCCCCACTCTGCCCTCTCCACTTCTACCAAGTTCTTCCTTATAACAAAGAAAATTACTTCCATAAAAATACCTGATAGAGTGGCTTCTTCTGACCAATGGATTCACCACTGTGACCTAGTATGCCCCACCTCTCTGCTGAGGGGAGGGAGGTACAATTCATTATCTGTTTATCATTCCCCCTACTGTTTGTAGAGAGTCAAATATAAGATATGCCAAGGTGAATGAGCCAGAGTCCTACCACGTAATGGGGAGATAAGGCAGGGACCCAAAATGGTGGACATTCTATGTGAGTGCTGGATGTTCTTTTCAAAGGAGCCCCCTCAGAGCCCTGTGCCTCCACTTCCCCCATCCTGTCTACTCATTTCTAGGACTGTTTCACCTGGTTCACTGGTATATTGTAGGGAGAAAAATAATTCTTCTTTATTCCTTTACAGGTTCAAGCCCCATGGATATTTCAAAGCAGTTTGTTGAAGCAAGCCAACAATTACATCTCAAGGCCAAGGAGATAATTTTGGAGTCTATTCTGGACACAGTTGGACTGGGGAAAGGAGGTTTGGCAAGATAATTCAATCCCAATTTCTAGAAGGAAGGGAGGAACCCAATACCACCTCCCTTTAAGGTTACCGAGCTACAGAGTTGTTTTTCTTAAAGAAAGAACAAAAGGATGTCTGTCTCCCAAGTGGTCTCAAAGAGGAGAGTGATTTTTTTTCAGTCATGAACTGAAATTTAGACAGAGATGTAACTTTCTCTCATATTGAAAGGCCTTTCCCTAAGGTTCCCAGTCTCGATGACATAAATGGAAAATCCTATTGGATTGGTATGGCCATATCTCTACCCTACACATAGTCCCCTTAAAAAACTAGGGAACCAGTAGCTTTGATGCCAATGGTCAATGGTTTTTATTGTTAACATTCCCTCTTCTGAAAGTATTTTTTCTCTTTTTTAATTGAATTTTATTTTAGACTCAAACATCAGAACACAAATACAGAATAGAGAAAAAACATATCATAAACTTAAATATTGGAACTTAATTACAAAGTAAGAAAAGAAAAAAAGCATAGCATGTGCATAGCAGAACATAGGAGAGGATTCAAAATATGAAATGATAAATTTTCATTTCCAGAAAACCTGTATGATAAATACCACACATTCTGTCCAGAGCTGTCCATCTTTTCTTTGCTTCCTTGTAAGTTTTCTTTTGTTCTCTGCTATGCACTTTTTGAACTTTGTTCTTTTTTTCCTTCCCCCCACCCCCCCATATTTCTCTATAGCTATAGATATATACATATACATATATACATTCATATATAGACGTACTTTCCCAAACAAGTAAATTTGTTTTCCCAAACAAATTCTACTCTTGATCTTTTTTTTTGTTTGTTTTTTGGTGAGGCAGCTGGGATTGACTGACTTGTCCAGGGTCACACAGCTAGTGACAAGTGTCTGAGGTCACATTTGAACTCAGGTCCTTCTGACTCCAAGGCTGGTGCTTTATCCACTACACCACCTAGCTGCCCCTTGATCTTTGTGCATATCTCTTATTTCCTGTCCCTCCTGATTCCTCTACTTTACTCCTTCCCGCTACCTTGCTCTTCTATTACTTAGCCTACCCCACCACAAAGGATCCCTTCCCTAACCTCCCATTCCCACAAATCTAAACACCCTACTATAACCCCCTATAACCTATTCCCCCACTCTCCCCTCTAGAGATCCTTCTCTTGTCCCCTCCCTATACCCTCACCATTTTGTTTCTTCTAAATATATATGTATTGTTCCCTCTTAAATCCATTCCCAATGAAAGTAGTTTACCAGAACTACCAGCCCTCTTCCCCCATCTAATTCCCCTTGCACCTCATTTGTATAAAATAATTACTCTTTTTAGCTGTTCCTAAATGTTTTTACTTTTTAAAGTCATATCATAGTCAGGTCTACCCCAGTCTTTCTTATGAGCTACCCAATTACTAATAAGAATCTTAGACATTCATTTTGCATTTTACATATATAAAAAGTAAACGGTCTGTCCTTATTGAATCCCTTGTAATTAGTCTTCTGGTATGTACCTTATGTTTCTCTTGCCTCTTGCATGTCAAATCTTCTATTAAGTTCAGGTTGTTTGTTTTTGTTTTTGTTTTTTTTTAACAAAATCTATTGAATGTCTACATTTTTTTTTCATTCAGGATCATTCTTAACTTTCCTGGGTATGATATTTTCAGCCTGAACCCCAGTTCTTTTTCTCTTGTATATATAATGTTCCAGGACCTGCAGTCTTTTAATGTCTCCTCTTACGTTATCCTTGAGCTGGGGGTTTTGGAATTTGACTATAATATTCCTATGAGTTTTCCTCATAGGATGTTTTTAAAGTGGTGATTGATGGATTTTTTCTCTTTCTACTTTCCCCCTTGCTCTAATGCTTCAGGACAATTTTCTTTAATTATTTCTTGTATTATTGTATCAAGATTCTTTTTTTTAATCATAGCTTTCAGTTAATCTGATTACTTTCATGTTTTCTCTTCTTGATCTGTTCTCTAGATCTGTTGTTTTTCTTATAAGATGTTTCACTTTCCCTTCTATTTTTTCATTATTCATATTTTGTTTAATTATTTCTTGATATCTTATAATTTCACTGGCCCAATTCTAATTTTCAAGGTATCATTATCTTTCTTGAGATTCTGGATCTCCTTTTCTAATTGGTTGACTTTCCTTTTGTTTTGTCTTCTTGTTTATCTTGGATTATTCTTTATTTATTTATCTATTTTTTAGTTTTTCCTCCATCTCTCTCATTTGATTTTTAAAGTCTTTTTAAAGTTCTTCTATGAATTCTTTTTGGGCAAGTTTGCTTCAATATCCTCCTCTGAAGATGAATCTTGGTCTTCTCTATTCCCATAATAACTTTCTATGGTTGGATTCTTTCTCCTTTACCTTTAGATTTTTTATAGTAATAGCTTAATTTTGTAATCACCTCTAGTCCTGGGGTATGGGGGATGGTGCCTCTTGCCCCAGATCTTCAGTTCTCCCCTCTAGCCTGGAAGGAAAGCCAAACCTCCAGCCTCCTGTAAGCATCCACAGTCAGGGGCCTTCTGCCCTCACTGGGTGCGTATTGGTTCCTGCCGTCTGCACAGCACAGCTGGGTCTGGCGTTCCTGGTCAGCAGAAGTTCCTTCGATCTTCCCGGGGTCAGACGCCCAACTCTCCTCACTATCCTGGAATTTTAAGTCCCTGTCGCTGAGGCGGAGGCAGCCTCCAAAACCAGCTAACCCCAGAGCTTGCCCCAAGTTATTGCCACTTGTAGTTAACACTCTAGAGGTGTTTACACTTCACAGGGACCAAACCTCAACCTGGGATTTTTCCTCTGATCTTCTAAATTATCACAGGAAGATCCTTGTTGTACCCCGATTCTTATTTATTTTTACCCGCATTTTGTTTCCCCTAAGGTACTATTTTGTCTGTTTTGTGGGGGAAGATCTTGAGAGCTTGGAATCTTCTGACCTACTCCTCCATCTTCCCAGAATCCTCTCCAAAAAATTTACCTCTATTTGCAAGGTCATGGTTAATTTTTTCCCGGTGATTAGATGTCCAGTTGCTTTCCATTCTTTTTGTAAATTATGCTTGTTCTGTGGTTTGATTTCAGGAGGGTCAGTTTACTAGGATGGGGGTGGGGAATTACATCTTTATTTCATATAATGTTTCCTTTGTAATATAATATATTTTATCTAAGTGCATTTAAAAACATCATTCTAAGAGGTAGTCTGAACACTTTTGCTGCCAAAGGGTATGTGGCACACAAAAAATTAAGATGCCCTGATCTAGAAGAACCAGGTTTGGAGAAAGCTAAACTGTAGAAGGGAGAATTTCCCCCAGGCATTTTGCACCTCAAAACATTGGCAATGACTTGAGACTCTTCATTACAGGGGAACCTGCTTAATGAAAGTCTTAAGAGTTCTCTGTTATAAGACCATGGCTCCCTACACAATTCTTGATAGTGGAAAAGTATTTTCCATCTGGGGTTTGTACAACAGAGAAATGGAGTGGGGAGAGCCATCATTTGGCAATGTGGTACAGTGGGCAATGCACTGGGCTTGGAGTCGGAGGTCTTGGGTTTGAATTCTAGCTCAGTCTGTGGCTTGCTAGCTAACTGGCTGATTGGCCTTGGCCAGATCTTAGCCTCAGTTTCTTCATCTATCAAAATGGGATAGTTGGACCAGCTGATCCTTAAAATCCCTTTCAATGCTCAATGATCCTATCACCTTACAAAAAGTATAATTATTTTCAGAAGATTCCAAACTGAAAAAAAAAATGAAAAACTAATTTACACCCAGTTGTTTGTGGGTTTGTTTTGGTTTTTTTTTTTTTTAACCAGAACATCTCATCTGTCTGTATAGTGATTTACATCTGCATTTGGACCTAAAATTATAGTCTCCATCAGGATGTGCTATTTGGTCCTGAATAATATGTTCATTTTTAAAACAACAACTAGCATTAGTTTTTGCTCCAAATTCCTTACTCATGACAAGTGATGACTCCTCCCTGCTCTTCTCTTCCTCTGTATTGCACAGTCTTAGCAGTTCACATATGAACTTATAAGCATTTCATATGGAAGTAAGCTGTGATTCTCCAAGAACCTCAGGACATCTGCCCAGTGATTTGCACTTCCCCTAAACCTATTTTCTTGGAACCATAGAGTAAACAAGTAGCACAGTGAGATCTAAGGCTAATTGTTCATCCAAGCTAAAGGGACCAAAATATAATGCAAGAGGAATAATTTTTAGAAGTGGAATTACAGACACAGCAGGATAACTAATGTTTTATCCCAAGATGCCCAAATCTAGGCAATGTGAACAGCATTTACAATCTTCAACAGCATAAAAATGGCTGAATTTAACTAGTTAGCAAGAAAATTTAGTTGAAATAGAAAGTTGCCAGATGGCATGTTTTTTTTTTCCTCTCTCAATCTCTCCTTCCCCATTATCTTTCCCTCTTTATAGACTGTCAAAGGCACCACCACTCTTCCAGTCCCCCAGGTTTATAACCTAAGCAATATTTTTGGTTTCCCTACTTCAAGTCTCTCTCTGGAGTCCCTTCTCTATGGCCAATTCTTCTCCAAAAGCTGCCAAAATGATTTTCTTAAAGTGAAAATCTGACCCTGTCCCTCCCCTACCCAATCAATTTCAGTAGCTCCCTATTACCTCCAGGGTCAAATAGAAAATCCTGTTTAGCTTTTAAAACCTTTCACTTGTCCAGGTGCAGTCATATCGTACAGGAATCCCTCTTTTGTACTACTTTTCTATTTGGTGAAATGGCCTTTCTCTTTCTTCCTTATGTGACACTCCATTTCCCCATGGCTAGTTCCCCCATGCCAAGAAAACACTCGCTCCTCACCTTCATCTCACAGAATGCCTCTGTTCCCTCAAAACAGATTTCAAGCACCATCTTAGGCACAGAGCCTTCTGACTCCCCTCCCCCCCCCCCCATTCCTGCCCCGCTTGTTCCCTCCCTAATTGCCTTGTATTTAAGAACTTTATGTTTCTTTTCTCCAATACACATTTAGGGTCTTCCCCCTGAGGATGCAAATTCCTGATTTACAATAGGGATTCTTTCATTCTTTTTTCTGCAAGTGCCACATAGTAGGCACTTACCAGATTGTCGTTGTTGTTTGTCCTTCATTCATCATCAGGAAGGTGATGATGACTTGCCAGGAAAACTGCATCTCGCTGAATGACTTTTATTCTCTGCTTCAGGAAAACAGTCCAACATCTTCACTGCCGTAGGGGTGAATTCTCCTTACCAGCTCGTTTTTCAGTCTTCTAATGCCTGTTTGAGTTTTTCACTCTCTGGAGCAAAAGAAAGGAGAGGAAGTGTTGTAAGTAAGTGATATCCCCCCACCCCACCCCCCAAAACTCTCGAGTATTTTTTTTAATAACCACCAAAGACTTTTTTTCCCATTTTTATCCAGAAATAAGAGCACCGATGCCTTGATTAGATGGCAATGATGATAGTTTTTTAAAGTTTGTAAAACACTTTACATATTTTATCATGTTCAACTCTTACAATGACTGGGTAGGTGCTATTGTTGTACGCATTTTATAGATGAAGGAATTCAGCTTGAGAGATATGCCTAAGCTCTCACTAAGCTAGTGTCTTAAGAGAGACCGGAACTCATTTCTTCTTGACTCCAAATGCAGAGTGCTATCCTTGACACCATCTATCTCTCAGAGAGGAATTCATGATGGAGGCAGTATAGTACAATGAAAAGGGAGCTGAATTTGGAACCAAGAGAAACTGAGTTCAAATCTCAATTCTCTCATACACTGCCTGAATGACCTTGGGTGAGTAATTTCACTTCTCTGGGATCTGACTTTCCTCATCTTTAAATTGAGGGGTTTGGACTGGATGACCTCCAAGGCACCTTCCAGCTCTAAGCCCCTGATCCTGCACATCTCAGCTTCCTCATTCTCTTAGTGCCCTAGGTGTCCAGTCTTTTGTAAATGAGATCCCCTTTTTAGCATCAAAAAGTTTTATAGGCACTGATATAATCAGAGTTTTGCTATTTGTATCTGCTTATGATCAAAGAAATGAAGGACAGAAATCTACTATGGATTTAGTCAGACTTTGAAATGGATTTGTATTTGATTAATCACAATATATTTATATACAAACAAGAGAAAGCCTTTGTTCAGAAGGCATGTTTGCATATGTATTACCTTAAGTCACTTGATAAAATGGCCCCTTTGTAGTAACTCAGATCCTGGGGTTGCTCATATTGGTAATATGTCTTCAAGTCATTTCCATCACAAAGGATCATAGATTTTTTTTTAAAAGATCTTATTTTGTTTTCAGTTCCAAAATCTCTCCCTCCTACCTTCACTTATTGAGAAAGAAAAACAAAACCCAATGCAAATATGTATAGTCAAGCAAAATAAATTCCTGCATTAGCCAGAATTAAAGATTTAAATAGATTTATTTTTAAAAGATTTAAAGACTTATTTAAATAGATTTAAAGGTAGATTCCTCCAGGTCACATGGGTAATAATCAACAGAGTCAAAATCTGAACTCAGCTACTCTGACTCTAATTTGACACTCTCTTGGGTGTGTGGGGATGGGCCATGCTATTCCTCTCACCTGGAACTCATTCCCTCCTTCTCTCTAGGATTACATTTCACTTCTTTCAGGTGTGCAGGCATCCCCAGCCAGACTGGAAATTGCTTCAAGGCAGGAACCACATCACTGACTGTTTTTCTTCCCACTCCTTAGTCCCTCCCTTTTCATAATCAGTGTCCCAGAAATGTTTAACAATGCACTTACATGAAGCCAATTTTGTCCATTTTACATAAGGAAAACATCCAGCAAGCCCAGGGAATTAATCAATTTATCTGCCTGGATCCCTTTTCACAATAATAAGATGTTTATCAGGGAGAGAAATTTTTCATAGATAGAATTAGATCATAGATTCAAAGATTGGAGAGGCTTGGGAGATGGCATCTAGTCTTTTTCATTTTTATCCTTTTTGGTTGAAACCCCTTTACAGGATTTCTTTACATTCTTTTTTTTTTTTTTTTAGGGGCAGGGAGGCAATCGGGGTTAAGTGGCTTGCCCAGGGTCACACAGCTAGTACACCCTCTATTATTATAGAGGGATGTGTCTCTCCCCCCTCCCAAGAACTTTTGTTTATGTGGGTTATGTCTATTGATATTTTCCACATTAGAAATTAAAACATCTAGGGGAAGAGCAGGAACTCAGGCTCCTCTTTTGAAAGCAGTGGGCAGTGGGTGATGGGCCCAAGGGCGGGGGAGGATGGTCACTGGAGAACCCTCAAAGCACTGTGACTGTGGTCGGCCCCCTAGAGCTGGTGAGAACAAAGCTTCAGGCCCAGCATTTGTCTTACCATGAGCTTGGGACCTGTGTCAGGGCACTCATGTCCCAGGGTGGTTGGCGCTCTCTGTGGCTTGGCTGGGGCACCACTGCATTGAGGGATGTGCCTTTTTCAGCCCAGTCTGTACTGGCTTAACTATGAGTTAGTGAAGATGTGGCTATGTAAGATGCCTGTCAAGGACCGGACTTCGGTCAGTATCTGCTTTGTGGCTGGAGCTTTCACAGGAACAGTGGCTGCTCTACTCACACTGCCTTTTGATGTGGTGAAAACAGCATCAGATGGAGTTGGGAAGTGTGGAAGCCCTGAGAGTGACCTTCCCATGTTTCCCTTCTACCTGGCTGCTGCTCCAATGAATTCAAGTTGAGTCTGGGGCTAGAGGACTCTTTGCAGGCTTCTCCCCACGGATCATCAAAGCAGCCCTTCCTGTGCCATCATGATCAGTAGCTACAGATTTGGCAAAAAAAAATTTCCAGAGACTGAACCTGGAAAAATGCCTTCAGGGACCCTGAGGGAAGAGTGGGAGAGAGGGATGGAAGGTACCAACCTCCAGGGTCTCCTGAGGAGACCAGCTCAGCAGGAAGAGAGGACTTACATAAACTTTCCTTATCATGGGAGCTATGGAGAAGAGTGTCACCCTCTGTTCTGTATGGCCGCGGGTGAGTGAGATGCCTGCTCCACTTTCCCTCCTACCTGGTAATACTAAGGCACCATGCAGGGAAAAAAGCTCCCCTTTTCCTCCATGTTTTCTCCCCACTTTCCTATAGACCAAATGCCCCCAGTTCTTGGTTTACCCCCTTTCATTCCTTAGAAATGCAATCTGCTGTTGTCCCTTTGTTTTTTCCTCTGGACATCTATCTCAGCCCCTGGTGCTGCTTTGTCTTAATCTCCCTCTTATTGAATCCTTTAGATCCAAAGATGATGCTTTGCTGTTAAAAAAAAAAGAAATTAAAATATCTTAGTATTATTATGAAATTGTTGCATCTAGCAGATCCCCTGAAAGGGCCTTGGGGACTACATTTTGAGAAACACTGATCTAGTCTATCCCTTTCTCTTCCTACTCCTCCCCCCCACCCCTTATACAAAAGAAGAAAAAGACCCATGAATAAAGAACTTGCCCAAGGTTTCATGGTGAGTAGAGCTGGGTTTGAAACCCAGGTTCTCTGACCCCAAATCCAGGGTTTTTTCTACTACTGCCTCACCTCTGCTTCTTAGAAACCTTTTGTCCCCCTCAAAACTCTACTCAAATGTGAGTGCCTTCTTCTATATGAAACCTTTCCCTATCCCTCCCTCCCAATACCCCTTGCTAATAGTACCACTCTGTTATCTTGCATTTCCTTGTCTATATTTTGTCTATACTTACTAATATATATATGATACTTCTAATAGAGAGTAAGCTCCTGGAGGGCAGGGACTGATTCTTTTTCTTTCTTATTCTTTTTTTTTTAATGAGGGAGCTTATGTGGTGCAATAGATAGAGTTCTGGGATTAGAATCATGAAGACCTGGGCTCAAATGCAGCTTTAAACACTTACTAGCTGTGTGATCCTGGACAAGACACTTAACTTCTGTTTGCCTGGGTTTCCTCAACTGTAAAAATGGGGATAATCATAGCATCTATCTCCCAAGGTCAAGTAAGATAATATTTGTCAATACTATCAAGTAAATATCAAATAAGATAATATTTGTAAAGTGCTTAGCACAGTGCCTTGCACATAGTAGGTACTATGTAAATGCTAACTATTATTATTATTGGTTATGTCATTGGGTCCACAGGCCTCAATGTTTGACCCATAATAAGTGCTTAGTGATTGATAGTGAATGACTTTTCTTCCCACTAGACCTAGCCCTCCCTATCTCTGTTGAGTCTTCCAACCTGGAATGCCATGGACTGGTAAGATAAGAGTCACTAGCTACTTCTTTCCTCTCCCAGGTAAACAGAAGTTATCCATTGTTGATGACTCCACAGGAAGAATTACAGAAAGTAGCAGTAGTGAACCTTTTTCGTTTAATGACCTCTGCCGTCAGGCCCGGGAAAAGCTGCAAGAAATGGGTCGAATTATGTGAGCCTCTTTTCATTTTATTTTCTTTTCTTTTCTTTGTAAGCCTCTTTCTAGGGAGGGAAAGTGGTGGGGAGGGAGAACTCTTGGGGCCTGAGGAGGGGCGGCTAATGGTATCAAGGTTCTAGTCACCACACAAAGGCAAAGAGAAGAGGGTCCAGGGAAAGAGACACCCAGGCCCTGTCCAGCTGCTGAATCTGTGTAGGAGAAATAAGGATAGAAGCGCAGTTGAAAGCCAGAAAGCTCCGTTTGGTGGCTCCCTCAAACATACCTGACAAGTAAGATCGTAGTTTACTTTCAGCACATCCACCTCCCATCCCACATTCTGTCCCAGAAGGGATATCTAATGGTGGACATTCAGGCATTAGCCCGGCAGGTGGAAAACGCTTTCGGAGAGCAGCCAGGTCTTCATACCACACCTCATAGAGAGAAGGCAACTTCTCCAATAAACAGGACCAACTCACCCTGTGGAGGAGTGCATCCTAAAAATCACATTAGAGAACAAGCTATTTTCTAGGGCATTTCATTGCTATTTTCTAAGCAGCTCTGCTGTGTAGCTATTAGACTCTTAGAATTGGAGTCAAGAAGATCTGAGTTCAAATCCCATATCAGATACTTAGTAGCTGTGTGACCTTGGGCACATCTTATCAGCCTCATAACATGCTTTGCAAAACTTAAAGAGCTACTATATAAATACTAGCAATTATTATTTATTTTAATTTTCAGTTCCAAATTCTATCCCTCTCTTCCTCCACCCCTATCCTATATGATACCCATCACACGTATAAAATCATGCAAAATATATTTCTACATTAGCCATGTTATGGGCAGGGGGGGAGCAAGAAAAATAAAGTAAAAAAAAAATATGCTTCATTCTGCATTCAGAGTTCGCCAGTTCTCTCTGGAGGTGGATAGCGTTTTTTTTAATTATGAGTCTTTTGGAATCTTTTGGATCATTGTACTGATTAGAGTAGCTAAGTCTTTCACAGTTAATCATTGTTTCAATATGGCTGTTACAGTGTATAATGTTCTCCTGCTTCTGCTCATTTCACTTTGCATCCACTTATATAAATGTTCCCAAGTTTTTCTGTAATGATCCTGTTCATCATTTCTTTTAGCACAACAGTATTCCATCAAAATCATATACCACAACTTGTTCAGTCATTCCCCAGTTGATTCCTTCAATTTCTAATCCTTTCTTACCACCACAAAAAGAACTGCCATAAATATTTTGGTGCATGTGAGTCTTTTTCCTTTTCCTTTGATCTCTTTGGGATATAGACCTAATAGTGGTATTGCTGAGTCAAAGGCTATGCACAATTTTGTAGCCCTTTGGGCATAGTTCCAAATTGTCCTTCAGAATGGTTAGGCCAATTCATAGCTACTCATTTCCCCACATCCCTCCCAGCATTTATCATTTCCCCTCCTTTCATGTTAGTCAATCTGAGAAAGAGGGACACACTAGGAGAAGAGTAGGGGGAGAGGTATAATGGGATAAATTATCTCACATAAAAAAGGCATGAAAGTAAGAGCTTTAACAGAGGGAATAACATATACATTCAGTTGGGTATAGAAATCTCTCTTGCCCTATAGGGAAGTAGGAGGAAAAGGAGGAAAAGGAAGGGGTGATGATAGAAAAGAGGGCAAATTGTGGAAGGTGGTGGTCAAAAGCAAAACAGACTTTTGAGGAGGTATGGGGGGAGGAGGAGGAGGAGGAGAGAGAGAGAGAAAGAGAGAGAGACAGAGAGATGAAGAGAGAGAAACTAGGAGAAAATATGATGGAGGGAGAAACACAGTTAGTAGTCATAATTGTGAATGTGAATGGGATGAACTTATCCATAAAATGGAAGTCAATAGCAGAGTGGATAAAAAACCAGAATACAACAATATGTTGTTTACAAAAAAACACATTTGAAACAGGGAGACAACACAGAGTAAAAATAAGGGACAGGAGCAAACTGGAGCTTCAGCTGATGTAAAATAAGCAGCTGTTCAGTTGCTGATCAGTCATGTCCAACTCTTCGTGATCCTGTGAACCAGAGCACACCAATACTGTCCATGGAGTTTTCTTGGCAAAGATACTAGAGTGGTTTCCTCCTCCAGTGGATGAAAACAAACAGAAATTAGGTGATTTGCCCAGGGTCACACAGTAAGTATCTGAGACCAGATTTGAATTCAGGTCTTCCTGACTCCAGGCCCAGCAGGGAAACTACATTTTGCCAAAAGGTATCATAGACAACAAAGTAATATCAATACTAAACCTACATGCAACAAATGGTATAGCATCCAATTCTTAAAAGAAAAGTTAAATGAGTTACAAGAGGAAACAGTAAAACTATACTAGTAGGGACCTCAACTTTTCCATCTCAAAACTAAATAAATCTAACTAAAAAATAAACAACAAAGAAATTAAGGAGAAGAATAGAGTTATAGAAAAGTTAGATATGTTATACTGCTGGAGAAAATCAAATGGGAATTGAAAGAAATGTGCCTTTTCCTCAGTGTTATATGGCATTTACACAAAAATTGACCATTTATTAGGGCATAAAAAACTCACAACCAAATGCAGGAAAGCAGAAATATTAAGTGCATACATTTCAGATCTTAATGCAATAAAAATTACATTCAGTAAAAGACCATGGAAACATCAATTAAAAACTAATTGAAAACTTAAAAATCTAATCCTAAAGAATGAGTGGGTCAAAGAACACATCATAGAAATAATAAACAATTTCATTAAAGAGAATGAAAATGATGAGACAACATACCAAAATCCCAAAAGGATGTGGCCAAAGCAGTATTTAGGGGAAACTTTCTATCTCCAAATGCTTACATCAGGCCACCAAAGGATTTTGGGTGGCCCATAAAAAATACAGAGGAAAATATCATCCTCTACATTTTTTGCAGGCTGCCCAAAATCCTTTAGTGTGCCAGCGAGCCATTTATGGCTTTCAGGCCACAAGTTGTACAGGTTTGGTTTACATCAATAAAATAGAGAAAGAGCAGATCAATGAATTGGACATGCAACTAAGAAAAAAAAAGAAAAACAACAAATTAAAAGTCCCTAATTTGATACCAAATTGTAAATTTTGAAAATCAAAGGAGAAATTAATAAAATTGAGAGAAAACCCTTGAACTAATAAATAAAACTAGGAACTGGTTTTATAAAAATCCAATAAAATAGATAAAGCATTGGTTAATTTGATTTAAAAAAGAAAAGGAAAAGGAAAACCAAATTACCACTATCAAAAATTAAAAGGACAGATTTACTACCAAAGTAGAGGAAGTAAAGCAATTATCAGGAGCTATTTTGCCCAATTATGTGCCCATAAATCTGAAAATCTAAGTGAAATAGATGAATGTTTATAAAAATGTAAATTATCCAGATTAACATAAGAGGAAATAGAAGACTTAAATAGCCCTATCTTAGAAAAACAAAATTGAACAAGCCACAAATGAGCTCCCTAAGAGAAAACCCCTTGGACCAGATGGGAATTCTACCAAACATTTAAAGAACAATTAATTCCAATAATATATAAATTATTTGGAAAAATAGGTGAAGGAACCCTACTAAATTCCTTTTATGACACAAATATGGTACTGAGGCCTAAACCAGGAAGAGTAAAAACAGAGAGAGAAAACTATAGATCAATTCCCTTAATGAATATTGATGCAAAGAAATTAAATAAAATGCTACTAAGAAGATTATAACAACATATCACAAAGGTCATGCCCTACGACCAGGTGGGATTTATGCCAGGAATGCAGGGCTGGTTCAATATTAGGAAAACTATCAGAATAATTGACCATATCAACAACAAAAATGGCAAAAATCATATGATTATCTCAATAGATGCAGAAAAAGGTTTTGACAAAATATAACACTCATTCCTATTAAAAACGCTAAAAAGCATTGGAATAAATAAAACTTTCCTTAAAATGATAAGGAGTATATCAAAAGCCATCAGCAATAATTATCTGCAATGGTGATAAGCTAGAAGCTTTCTTAATAAGATTAGGGGTGAAGCAAGGATGCCTATTATCACCACTATTATTCAATGTTGTACTAGAAACAATAGCTATAGCAATTAAAGAAGAAAAAGAAATTAAAAGAATTAGAATAGGCAATGAGGAAACAAAATTAACATTCTTTCCAGATGATGGTATACTTAGAAAATGCTAGAGAATCAACTAAAAAACTAGGTGAAATTATAACTTCAGCAAGGTTGCAAGATATAATAAACCCACATAAATCACACATACACACACACACACACACACACACACACACACACACACTAAAGTCCAGTAGGAAGAGGTAGAAAGAGAAATTCCATTTAAAATAACTGTAGACAATATCAAATGCTTGGGCATCTACCTGCCAAATCAAATCCAAACAATTACAAAATACTTCATGCAAATAAAGTCAGATCTAAACAACTGGAGAAACATGAATTGCTCATGGGTAGGTCAAGCCAATAAAATAAAAATAACAATTTTACATAAATTAATTTACTTATTCAGTGCCATACTAAACTACAAAAAATTATTTTATAGATCTAGAAACAATAGTGACAATTCATCAGGACAAACAAAAGGTCAAGAATATCAAGGAAATCAATGAAAAAAAATGTGAAGGAAGGTGGCCCAGCAGTACCAGACCTCAAATTGTATTACAAAGCAGTAATCATCAAAACAATCTGGTATAAGCTTAGAAATAGAGTGGGGGACCAGTTGCATTGGTTAGGTACATAATATATAATAGTAAATGACCATAGTAATTTAGTGTTTGATAAACCTAAAGATGGGGACAAGAACTCACTATTTGACACAAATTGCTAGAAAACAGAAAATCAGTTTGGCAGAAACTAGATATAGACCAACATCTCACACCATATACCAAGATAATGTCAAAATGGGTATATGATTTAGACATAAAGAGTTGTATCATAACCAAATTAGGGGAGTGTAGAATATCTTATCTGTCAGATATATAGGCAAGG